AATAATTCCCAGGCTACTTATGGCACAGTGATAACAAGTTGAATATACTGAATGCAAATATAAGAATAAAATAAATAACGTACAACAGACTAACAATGAATTCAATACTAATGTTCATTGATCTTATGGTGCAATAAAATCTGCACTCTGTTCACATGTGTGAGTAAGTCTATATCTCTGTAGAGGTATTTTATGAAGGATAAGTGAAATAAGCTAGAACAGATTTAGGAGAGAGGTGTAAGTATCAATTTAAATGATTAATTATGTTTCTAAGTCTGTTCTTACATTATATTTACTTTGGAACAGTAACTTTCAGTAGTTGCTATTTTAATGTTTCCTTCCACAATATCTTATCATAATCATCTACTGTAATAACATTTCTCTTTCATTTTCAAGCTGAAGAATTACAGACTGACTGACCTAAATAATGTTCATGTTTGGCGTTGTTCTCCTTGGGGAAGTAAAGCACATTTCATAGCCAATTGTCTAGAAGTTCCCCCATTGTTTTTGTCTTTTGGAACAAAGATTAATATGTAAAAAAAAAAAAAAATCACAAAAAATAAAATGTATAGACAAATAGTTGAACAAATTTGCTGAAGATTAATGAAAAATACATATATAGTAAAGTTGTGTGCAATCAGTCTGATATAAAAAGGCTTTAGGTTATGTCTTTTATGGCACAAGATGAGCTTTAACCAGCTTGAGTACTGAGTTGAACCCACCCAAAGGCAATTTTATTGATTTTGTCTGTTGCCAGATTTATCTTGCACTCTGTTTTGACTTGTTTTAAAATTTAAGTGTCTAGGGTCTTCCAAAGATAAAAAGGTAATGTGGATCCCTTGATGACTGTACCTAGGTACATGTCAAAGGCAACATCTACCAAGGTCAAAACGATCATCTCGGATAGCTGTATTTCTTGTGTTGTGGGAGTTAACCATCATTCAAGATCACTTTTGGCTGGGATCAACCTAATATGCAATCATTGTTGTCTGCGCCTAGTTTTCTTTTGTACATTGATTGATTTAAATGAAAAATAGACTTGGAGATTAGAGATGTCGCGAACTGCTCGCCGAACTGTTCGCGAACTGTCCGCCGGCGACTGTGAGGTTCCAGGTCAAAGTGTACTCAATGATGATGAATAGGGGGCGGACCGGAAATCGCATATGTTCGCCCAACGCGAACACGCTATTGTTCGCCGGCGGACAGTTCGCGAACAGTTCGGCGAGCAGTTCACGACATCTATATAGGAGATTCTTTCAGCCAAAATCAGGCCGATAGGATGACCAGAAGAATTACTGATTTCCAAACAGCCACATGCCAGAATCTTGGTTGAATTGCAAAACCAACAGTGGCACTGAAGCTAATCAAATCTGTCTCATTGTCTGACTACTAATATGGGTGTATGGCAGCTAGGAAGACTTTTTTCTCCTCTTTTTTACTGAATAAATACACACTCATCCCAAAGAAAATAATTTCTTTGTACAAATAGTTAACAAAAAAAACAAACAAAAAAACTTTTAACAACTATAAATTGGTAATTAAGTGGCAGAAAGGGGGGTGGGGGTGGTGCCTGAGAGCTGACAAGGACTGTCGCATCGTGCTGGAGCTCCGACAATAAATTATCTTCCGCAGGTTAAACCCGATAGAATTTCTGGCAATAATTGTGCATGCACTACTGGGGAGTACCCTGCAGCTTCTATGTAACAAAGTTACTGGTAGCTGGAGAAACCAGCCTTGTTCAGACCTTCAGTCACACTTAAGGAGGGAGAGTCAGCCGATCCTCAGCCTTGAATTGAGGATTGCGTGCTTAGGGCCCTGCCCCTCCTTAGCACATGCAGGGTATATCCCGGTCCCCAATGGTGTACTATAGGTGTAATGTCGAAATGCAGCCCACAGCTGAATCGGAGGGTTGTGGCCTGGTTCACAAGATGGCTACCCTGATGGGCCCTACAGCAAGAGATACTCTCCTGTGGTCTTCTTTACTGCTGGACTCACTACTCCTAAATATTTACCGCATCTGTGTGACCTTTCTTGTTAAGCTAAGCGAACAGGGACTTACCTCTATGCGTGCAGGCCGAATCGCGCTCTCTGGATCCATAAATCTGGTAAGCACCGCCTGAGCGTGCCTCCCCATGTGTTCATGGACAGGTGCCATGGAAGAGACATCACAAAAGGTGCCTGTGCCAGCAGTCCTCATCTAGCAGCATTAAGCCTGCTGCTTGCTGCTGCACATCCCGATACCTGGCACTCACACTCTCACAGCACTGCTCAGTGGAAGTGGAAGAGGCTACTATACTACTTGCGTGCAAGGGCTGACTGGAGGGACCCTATCCAGGATGATGATGACTGCAGAGGAAGGTACTCCCCTTCATTGGGCATCGGCTGATCAGTTTACATACCTAGCCTGCAGCGTGGCTGGTTCAATCCTGACCCTATTTTGCAATGTGCCCGCAGTTGTGACTATTTAGTCCCATTGGTTCTTATATAAGTGCCATGCATTTCTCTACAGTTCTAGGCTATATCTAGTGATATATGTGTTCTTCCACTCATGATTTTACTACTTTACAAAAAATAAATAAAAATGTGCAGGTCACTCATCATGTTTATGCTGATATGTTGATCCTTTCTTCACGTTAATCAGCAATGTCATCACTACCAATATGTTGTCTTTGTCATGCAGAAAAAAAATAAAGAAGTTTGCGTGAGTGCCAATGTGTCACTAGCTAGGCAAAAATCTTCGTCAAGTATTTACTATGGCCTGAAATATATCACTAGGTGAACATTGTGTAACATTAAATGTCCAGCATATGGTTGGTAATGTTTTTGTTTGCATTTTTATGCATTAGGACATTTTTTTAATTAATTGTTCTTTTCAAGATTACACAAATGTAGATCATCTTTATTGAGATATTAGTAAAGTTAGAAGAGACTCAACTAATTTTTTCTGAGCACAGCTCATCTCTTTGTCATAAAAAGTGTTTGACTCGTCATCGAGTGCTCCAAGCCAATTAAGCATTCAAGGTGGGAAAGACCTTTACAGACTTTGAATGAAGAGTCAGAACATATTGATTGGGTTGGTTTGGAAGCCAACCAATCACTAAGCTTTGATGGACAAGTCTCACCTCTCAGCTAGTTAGGTGTATATTTAAATTTTATTTTATATATATATATTTTATTTTATATTATTGGTCCAGGTGACTTGGCATCTCCTGGGTAAAACCAGTCTATTTTATTTTTCATAAAGGGACCGGTAAATAGGGGATAACTTGGGCCTTTTTATTTTGTATAAAGGGTTTAGGAGAACAACATCTTCCATATTCATGTATAAACATTTTGACTTTAATGTACTTTGCAAAACAAAATTTAGTCCAAATTCACACTCGCCCTCATTTAACTCCAGGAATGATTACCAGGCATTTGTCTGACAGAAGCCACTGGTAACACATGTATTATCTGCAAGTGTGCTGAAAATGATAGCTCACCCCTCCATTAAAGTAAGTTTCAACAGGTACTAGCGTTCTTACAGGTTGGGAGAGGAGAAGGACTCTATGGACACTACCATTTCACTGTTAGCACTACATTAGCATTTCAGAAATTGATAAACTTTGCAATGATAATTTTTAAATACCTGTATATAAGAAATATATGAATTCACAGCATTTACTGTATGTAGGCACTGAGGCTAGTGGTGTTGTGGAGAGAGGCACTGAGGCTAGTGGAGTTGTGGAGACCGGCTTGGAGACTATGGTGAGGCCTAATAGAAAGCAGTTGTTATTGAGGGATTCCATCATAAGAGGTGTGGAGATGGACAATGGTGGTCTTGTGAGGTGTCTTCCAGGAGCTACTGCTCACAGAGACAGGAGACGTATCTGTAATATTGTTAAGCGAGCAAAGCAGGAAGGGGAATTGGATGTACTTGTCCATCTAGGGACAAATGACTTGGCTTGCAATGAGGTTTCAGAGGTTAAGGAAGTTTTTAGTATTTTTGCCAATGATTTACAGCAGATTGCTTCCACACTGTCATTCTCTGAAGTTCTGCCTGTGCATAACACTCAGAACGACAGGCGGATGCGTATTAGGGACTTTAATTTGTGGCTTGGTGAATGCGGGGGGGGAAATGGGTGATAAAACATCAATCCAATTGTCCCCCAAAACAAGGACAGAAGGTGCTTGTAGCAAGTGTGTTAAAAAATGATAAGCTTAGAGTCATGTCTACAAATGCTCGCAGTTTAGGGAATAAGATCCATGAACTTGTGGCAATAATGGCAACTGATAGTGTAGATTTAGTCGCTGTTACTGAGACATGGTATAATGAGAAAAATGACAGGGACATGGCAATACCAGGGTACTCATTATATAGAAAAGATAGTGAAGGCATGAAAGGGGGAGGAGTGGCCCTGTATGTGAAGGATAGTATAAAATCTAGCATAATAAAAGTTAGTGAGGCGAACATAGAGTCCGTTTGGGTTACGTTAGAATTTGGTAATCACACATTAACTCATGTAGGTGTGATTTATAGGCCCCCAGGACAAATTGAAGAGTTAGATAATCTACTAGTTGAGGAAATAGCTAAAATGACAATGAAGAGGAAGTTATCATCATGGGTGACTTTAATCTTCCTGATGTAAATTGGAAAACCAAAATAGCTGCTTGTGCCAGGACATATCCTAAACTCCCTACTGGGATTGTCTCTAAAACAAGTCGTTGAGGAGCTAACTCGTAAACAGGCCATACTAGATTTAGTGTTAACAAATGGAGATTTGGTATCAGATATTACTGTAGGTGAAAGTTTAGAATCCGGTGATCATCAGTCAGTGTGGTTTAATATAAGAACAGTGACTGAGTCACACCACACAAAAACAAAAGTTTTAGACTTTAGAAAAACAGACTTTTTAAAATTAGAATATGTGTAGAGGAGTCATTATCAGACTGAGGCAATTTAAATTGAGTCCAAGAGAAATGGGATTATTTAAAAGTTGCACTACTGAAGGCAACAGAAAATTGCATTAGACAAAGGAGTTAAGGGCTGCACTTAAAAACAATACATTTTTATTGTTTTTAAGTGCAGCTCTTAACTCCTTTGTCTGTTCCTGTTTTTCAAGGGTTTCCCTTTTTTTTGAGGGATTCCCTTTTTTAGGGTTGCTGCTCTTCCATTTGTCAGTTAGCACAGACTCTTCCCCCCTTTGTTTTTTAGAAAATTGCATTAGGCTTGTCAGTAAAAGCAATAAATTCAAGAAACCACTGTGGTACTCCGCGTGAGGAAGACAAAATGATCTATAAGATTAGGCAGAAAGAGGCTAAGCAAGTTATAACAGCTTCCAAATCACACACAGAAGAGAAAATAGCACAGTCAGTAAATAAGGGGGACAAAACTTTTTTTAGATACATAAATGAGAAAAGAAAAGTTAAACAAGGATTAGTTAGATTAAAAACAAAAGAAGGAAGGTATGTATAAGAGGATAAAGGTCTAGCTGACTGCCTCAATTAATATTTTTGTTCTGTATTTACAGATGAAAATGAAGGAAAGGGTCCTCAGTTAAGAAAAAGGATAAATGAGTCATTTATTACACGTGAGTTTACAGAGGAAGAGGTTCTATTTCAACTGTCAAAAGTAAAGACAAATAAGTTAACGGGACCTGATGGAATACACCCAAAGCTATTAAAAGAGCTTAGTGGTGTACTAGCAAAACCATTAACAGATTTATTTAACCAATCATTGTTAACAGGAGTAGTCCCAGAAGATTGGAAGTTAGCGAATGTTGTGCCCATTCACAAGAAAGGTAATAGGGAGGAGTCGGGCAACTATAGGCCAGTAAGCCTTACTTCAGTAGTGGGGAAAGTGATGGAAACCATGTTAAAGGATAGGATTGTGGAACATCTAAAAACACATGGATTTCAAAATCAGAGACAGTTGTAGTTAATGGAATATATTCGAAGCTTGGACTTGTCACCAGTAGGGTACCTCAGGGATCTGTACTTGGACCCATTCTCTTTAATATTTTTATTAGTGATATTGCAGAAGGTCTTGATGGTAAGGTATGTCTTTTTGCTGATGATACTAAGATATGTAACAGGGTTGATGTTCCAGGAGGGATAAGCCAAATGGCAAATGATTTAGGTAAACTAGAAAAATGGTCAGAATTGTGGCAACTGACATTTAATGTGGATAAGTGCAAGATAATGCATCTTGGACGTAAAAACCCAAGGGCAGAGTACAGAATATTTGATAGAGTCCTAACCTCAACATATGAGGAAAGGGATTTAGGGGTGATTATTTCTGATGACTTAAAAGTAGGCAGACAATGTAATAGAGCAGCAGGAAATGCTAGCAGAATGCTTGGTTGTATATGGAGAGGTATTAGCAGTAGAAAGAGGGAAGTGCTCATGCCATTGTACAGAACACTGGTGAGACCTCACTTGGAGTATTGTACACAGTACTGGAGACCGTATCTTCAGAAGGATATTGATACCTTAGAGAGGGTTCAGAGAAGGGCTACTAAACTGGTTCATGGATTGCGGGATAAAACTTACCAGGAAAGGTTAAAGGATCTTAACATGTATAGCTTGGAGGAAAGACGAGACAGGGGGGATATGATAGAAACATTTAAATATATAAAGGGAATCAACACAGTAAAGGAGGAGACTATATTTAAAAGAAGAAAAACTACCACAACAAGAGGACATAGTCTTAAATTAGAGGGACAAAGGTTTAAAAATAATATCAGGAAGTATTACTTTACTAAGAGGGTAGTGGATGCATGAAAAAGCATTCCAGCTGAAGTGGTAGAGGTTAACACTAGAGATGTCGCGAACTGTCCGCCGAACTGTTCGCGAACTGTCCGCTGGCAAACAATAGCGTGTTCGCGTTGGGCGAACATATCCGATTTCCGGTCCGCCCCCTATACGTCATCATTGAGTAAACTTTGACCCGGAACCTCACAGCCAGTAGACACATTCCACCCAATCAGCAGCAGAACCTCCCTCCCAGGAAGTGTCTGCTGACTGTGAGGTTCTGTTGACGGAACATTTAGATGTGGTTTCACGTTGTGTAGTGTTTTGTGTTGTGTATTCATTTCATGTGTGATTATTATTATTATTTTATTATTTATATAGCGCCAGCAAATTCCGTAGCGCTGTACAAAGGGTGGACTAACAGACACATAATTGAGATCAGACCACTGCACGTACAGGGACAGAGGGGGTTGAGGGCCCTGCTCGATGAACTTACATGCTAGAGGGAGTGGGATATGGTGACACAAAGGGTTAAAGTAGGGGAATTAAATAGTTTGTTAGAGAAGGGTTTATTGAGTGCTTGGTAGGTCATTTTTGACAGTTGCAGGAAAGGAGTCATGGGGTGGGGGATGATAAACCTGCTGACAGTTTAATTGATACGCTTTAACCATACTTCAGATAGATTAAAAATATTAGCAGTAGTTACCTTTTAATAAAAAAAAAGTATATATTTAATTAAATTATTGGCAAGTCATTTATATTTATTTAGTTCAAATTCAACATATCTAATAAACTTGATGACTTATCTGGCAGCACATTTAGAATTCATGTACATTTGGCAATGGTGACTGTTTTTCAAACAATCCAAAGTTGAGCTCATTGACCCCCAGGACTCAATCCTAAGCCAGAGCATGTTTTTCAGTTATTAAAGTAGATAAATAAATTAATAAACTAGTAAAAAAGTGAAACATGTAAAATTAAATTTCCTACTTGATGTATTGACGCAGTATTTGTGAGAGAATATTTTTAGGCATAAACATATAAATATACATATATAAAATTAATTAATGAGTGCGTTGCTTCTGAGCACTCAATGGGCTCTAATCTTGGGAAGAGTGGGCCATATGTCCTGGTCTGCCCTGGATTTGTGGGAGTCACATTGCCCAAATGAGAGCTGCTGCCATTTTAACATAGCCCCCCAACATGGGAGTTATGGCATCTGAGGCAAGCAAGTGGGTGGGACAGTAGAAGGTGGTCCTGCACAAAAAGGATGCATGTCAGTCTGTCCTGCTTGTCTGCAAAGCACCCGTATATTTACCTAATCTGCCAATTTACCAGAAAATTCCAAATCTTCCAAATAATTATATTATATATCTTTAATTATTATCTATCATAAATATACTAGATGCAATCATATCTAGATTTGTGCTCAGCGAAAAAAATTGGGTCATCCAAATTGATATTTCCAGAAAAAAGTTTTGTTTCAAACGATTCAGGATTCATCAATGTTGCGTTTTGGTTTGTGTGGATTTCATCAATGGGATTGTTACAGGAAAAACAATTAGGACTAACCATTGAGACAGACATTGGGCAATCAATGTACTGCAGAATATAAATAGTATGTGTATATTTTATGGAACACGTATAGGTGCATTACCATGCCATTTGACTTACAGATCTAGTAACAAGAAGTACTTTCTATCCAATAGCCACATTAATACTATATGAATAAATTAATACAAGTCTATAGGGGTCAACATGACCTCCATATTAGAATAAGGGAAGTATACAACCTCTCTTATGGAGTAGATAAGGGCATATCCACTAAACAGGAACAGTCAGCGGCTGCTCACTGTTTTAAAACTTGATACTGATAAGCTACTGCTGAACAGTCACTAACAAAGGTCCCATCCAGTAGTATTGAGGTCTCCATGTGCCCCCACACCTTGACCTCGGATGGGGGCTTCAAATTAAGTAATGGGTGTGGAGAGGTCACGTGTGGACAGTGGGTGATGACTATTAAGTAAAAACAAGGTGAAACATCCTAGTGTCCCCTCCTCACCTCACCCTTCTGTGTCCCTACTAGCCCCCAGACAAAAAGAGGAAGGTGGGAAAAATTTAGGGGGGCCTAATGTCCCCCTAAGCTCTCACTCATGAGTGGCAGATGATGGGCTATTAATTTAATAACATGGGGGTCTAATGTTACCCAACCCCCACCCATGGATAGTGTGTGGGGGCTATTTAATAATCAATGTAGTGGGTGTACATGTTATTTTCTACACCCTCATCCATGGGCTTTGGGTGGGAGGTATTAGATGGGATAATGGAGAGTGGACATGCCAATGTGGTGACTGGCTAGCAAATACTTCTTCTTACTTGAACTGTAAGTCAAATGGCATGGAAATTCACCTAATAGTGTCCCACAAAATATACACATAATATTTATATTCTGCAGTACACTGATTGCCCAATGTATGCAGCATTTTGGTTAGTTTGAATTGTTTTTTCCCTAGCAATCCCATGAATGAAATTTACATGAACCAATATGACAGATGGATGAATCCTGAATCGTTTGAAACAAAACTTCTTTCTAGAAATATCAATTTGTTTGACCCAATTTTTTCACTAAGCACAATGTGGACATGCCCTTGTCTACCTTGGAAGTTATGACCAATTGCTCCCCCCATGGAGCTATGTGTCCCCAAGCCCCTAGCCACTCTCTACAGTAAAAGAAATCTACCCCCTCACCTCACCCTAATAATATTTTACAGTATTAGATGTACTGGGTCCCCCATTGTTTTTATTTAGTAACCCCACCCACTGGCTATGGGTGAGTGCTTGGGTGGACCTTTGCCAGGTCTCCCCATGATATTTTTAGAGACTGTGCAGTAATAGCTATCCAGTTAGCAGTTTTTAATTACAGTTGCTGGATTCTCATTGTTTAGTAGACATAATCACATGTCTGTAATTCTCGGGCAGGGTTTTTGATTCCATATTAAATGGTTATTCCAATTAAAAAACTGTTTTTTAACAAAACACTGTTTTTGGTCAGAGTAACCTTTACTGGTATGCCCCTCCCCAAGCTGTTGTTAAAAGCAACAGATACAGGTACTCCTCACTTACCAACCGGGTTCCATTCTTACAACCCGGTTGTAGAATGAATTGGTTGGTAAGAGAGGAGTAAAGAGATTCCCTGCTCTGGTGCGTTTGTCTATGCTCGGGTAAATTTCCCTGAACACAGATTTGAGGGATTCCCTGCTCTGGTGCGCTTGTCTATGTTCAGGGAAATTTACTTGAACATAGAAAAACGCAGAAGAGCAGGGAATCCCTCTAATCCCCACGAAGGCTCGCACTTA